AAGGATTTATTAATTTTTTTTTTGAAGGAAAGAGATTTTAAATTGAGAGAGAGATCTTTTTTACAAAAGATTATAATGTTTTTGTAAAGAGTAAAAAAAAAAAAAAGGAAAAAAAAAAAAAAAAAAAAAAAAAAAAAAGGAATAAAAAAAAAAGTTAATAAAATAAAATTTTTTATTTAATGATTTTTTCTTTTTCTGGTTGAAAAAAAATGTTGCAATACTTACGCACTGAAAAAAAAAATTATGCACGTAATTTAAAAAAAAAAAAAAAAAAAATAATTTTAATATATTTTAATTTAAAATATATTAAAACACTTTAATATAAAAATGCTTGATTGTTATTCTTTTTTATTTTATAAAAAAATAAAATTTTTTTTTTGTTTTTTTTTTCTTTAAAACTAGTTAATACAAAAATTATTTTATATAATTAAAATATTAAAAAAAAAAAAAAAAAAAAAAAATACAAAAAAAAATACCAAAAAAAAATACAAAAAAAAAAATATAAAAAAAATAAAACCTTTGTTATATATAATTGCGTTACTTTTATCAAAAATTGTTTAAAAAAAAATTATTAGTATATTTATTAAGAACACTATTAAAAGAAAAATATATAAAAAGTTAATCTATAAAAGAAAAATAAAACTAAAAATTTAATATCCCTGAAAAAATATTATTATGAAACAAAGCAATACTTTTTATATTTTTATATTATAATTTATTCAAAAAAAAATGTTACTATTCAAACAAGTGTTTTATACTTTTTGAATAGAATGACAAAATTATTCGTAGTTTTAAATAGAAAATTTAAAAAATAAATTTAATAACCTTTTTTTTTTATTTTTTTTTTCAAAAAAATTTCTTTTTTCATTTTTAAACAATTATTGAAATGTGTAAATGGAGAACTGTTAATATATTTTTTTGAATGATCTTTTTAGTTAATAAAGACACATTATTAACAGCATTTTAAAATAAAAGTTAAAATGTTTTCATATTATCATTTTATGCTAAAACTATAAATTTTTTTCCTTAACTGAAAACTTTTTTTTAATCAAAGATTATTTATTTTATTTGTAAAAAATATTTTACAACATAGAAATTTTTCGTAAAATTTAGTTATAATTATATTTTTTTTTTTTTTTTAATGATGTCCAATAAATGGAGAGTATTTTTTTAATTTTTCTATCTTTTACATATTTTTATTTTTTTTTTAGTTTTTGAGGTAGTTTTAATGCATATTAATTTTGTAAAATGTTATTAATAGAAGTAAATTTTGATAAATTTCCATTTTATAATAATATTGTATTTTTAAAATTTTAATTTTTTTTTTTTTTTTTTTTAAAGTTAAAAATGAAAAAACAATAGCCACATAAATTATTTGCCAATTTTAAATGAAAATTTTTTTTGGGAAAATAGTCAATAGAAATTGTGAAAAATCAATTTTCCATATAATTTTAAAAGTTTCAAAAAAATTTAACGAAAATTCTAAAAAGTTAAATTTTTATTATATATAATAGTAAATTGTTTACATAAAATTTCGTAATGCTATTTTAAAAATGAAAAAAAACTTACCTAGTATAAAATTTTTTTAATTATAAATTTTTACTAAAAATATTTTTAATGTTTTTCTTTAAAGTAGCAGTAAAAAATAAAATAAAATAAAATAAAACAAAATAAAATAATAAATATTTATTTTAATTATTCTTAGTATTTAAAATGAAAATTTTTTTTTTTTTTTTTTTTTTTTTTTTTTTTTTTAAATTTTAAAAAAAAAAAAAAAATCTACTATTACCATTGAACCATTTACAAACAGAGTTGCATCTCCTGAAACAGACATTACATCTCTTGCAATTAACACTACAACTTTTATGCCTGATACTATAGCTCCAACTGCACTTTCGAATTCTCTAGATAAAACACCTATTCTCACAACTCCAACTGCTTTTTTTCATACAACAAATAACAATTTATCTTCAAATCAGACAGATAGTATCCAACTGCAGAACCAACAAATTATACATGCCCCTCTTAAACAGGTTCAACAACATGTAAATGGAATAAACTGTACTGGAAACACTTCACCATGTCCAAGTGCGATTGCTCCAGATACTTTGACGCCAACAACATCAAGTGACCCTACCGAAGTTACGCCTACTCTTACACCTAAAGGTAATTTATTAATACCAATGGTTTCAGTAGGTATATTTATTTTGGGAATTATTTTTCTTTTGGTTCTTATTTGTAAAGTAAGATAAAATTAACATTTAAATATGATGAAACTTATATATTTAAAATCATAATTACATTAATGAAGAATTTTTATAATTTTTTATTTTTTAATTTGAATTATAGTGTACTCCTATTGGATCTTGGATTCGTTATAGGAAGTCAAAAAAAAAAAAAGCAAGAAAAAAGATTAAGAAAATAACAAGGGAACCGTTGTTAATGGATACAAACAATATAAAGAATGAACCAATAAATAATGAAAATTATTCGTTCTTATACCATGAAAAAGAAATACCACTATGTGATATGATTTTGGAAAATGAAAAAGATTTGAAGTATAAACATGTGAAGAAATCCAAAGCACATAAAGGAATGTATATGGAAAATGGAAAAGACTTGAAGCATGAAAAAATGAAGAAATCCAAAGCACATAAAGGAATGTGCATGAAGAATAAAAAAGATTTGAAGTATGAACAAATCCAGAAATCTAATGCTCACGAAGAAACGTATATGGAAAATGACATAGATTTGAAGTTTGAACAAATTAAAAAATCCAAAACACATGAAGGAACCTATATGGAAAATGAAATAGATTTGAAGTATGAAGAAATAAAGAAATCCAAAGCACATAAAGGAATGTACAAGAATAATGAAAAAAATTTGAAGTATAAACAAGTGAAAAAATCCAAAGAACATGACGGAATGTATATGGAAAATGAAAAAGATTTGAAGTATGAACAAATAAAGAAATTCAAATTGCATGAAGTAACATATATGGAAAATGAGGATGATTTGAAGTTTGAACAAATGAAAGAATCCAAAGAAAATGAAGGAATGTATATGCAAAATGAAGAGGATTTGAATTATGAACAAATAAAGAAATCCAAATCGCATGAAGGAACGTATATGGAAAATAAAGAAGATTTGAATTATGAACAAATAAAGAAATCCAAATCGCATGAAGGAACGTATATGGAAAATAAAGAAGATTTGAATTATGAACAAATAAAGAAATCCAAATCGCATGAAGAAACGTATATGGAAAATGACAATGATTTGAAGTTTGAACAGATTAAAAAATCCAAAATACCTGATGGAACCTATATGGAAAATGAAGTAGATTTGAAGTATGAAGAAATGAAGAAATCCAAAGCACATGAAGGAATATATATGGAAAATGAAAATAAATGCATTCGTGAAGTTGTAGAAATGTCAAAGAAGCACGAAAATGAATCGATATTGGGAGAAAAATTATATCAAGATGATCCTAGAAATGAAATTGAAGAAATTGAATTGAATGTAAATAAATCTAGAAATGAAATTAAAGATGAATTAAATAAAAATATATTAGAAAAAGACCCTGTTCATATTGTATGGCATATTAGGAATGGCACATTAAATGAGGAAAAAGCAAATGAAATAAACTTGCAAAAAGAAAAATCTACATGTGAAAATGAAATGAAAAATTTAGAAAATAAAAGATCACTTAATGATGAAGTATGTAGTTGGAATACATGGATAAATATACATTTGATAGCCTTACTTGAGTATAAAACAGAAGAATGGAAATTGAATAAAACCGAATTTTTTAATATTTGTTTAGAAGAGATCAAAAAAGATGGAGAAAATTCTAATTTAAAAGAAATTGGAAATAATTTTGTAATGAAAATAAAAGAAGAAAATAATACCGATACAATAGATAAAAATAGTAGTATATTAGATAAATATAAAAATGAAGAGTGGTTTNCGTATATGGAAAATAAAGAAGATTTGAATTATGAACAAATAAAGAAATCCAAATCGCATGAAGGAACGTATATGGAAAATAAAGAAGATTTGAATTATGAACAAATAAAGAAATCCAAATCGCATGAAGGAACGTATATGGAAAATAAAGAAGATTTGAATTATGAACAAATAAAGAAATCCAAATCGCATGAAGGAACGTATATGGAAAATAAAGAAGATTTGAATTATGAACAAATAAAGAAATCCAAATCGCATGAAGGAACGTATATGGAAAATAAAGAAGATTTGAATTATGAACAAATAAAGAAATCCAAATCGCATGAAGGAACGTATATGGAAAATAAAGAAGATTTGAATTATGAACAAATAAAGAAATCCAAATCGCATGAAGGAACGTATATGGAAAATAAAGAAGATTTGAATTATGAACAAATAAAGAAATCCAAATCGCATGAAGGAACGTATATGGAAAATAAAGAAGATTTGAATTATGAACAAATAAAGAAATCCAAATCGCATGAAGGAACGTATATGGAAAATAAAGAAGATTTGAATTATGAACAAATAAAGAAATCCAAATCGCATGAAGGAACGTATATGGAAAATAAAGAAGATTTGAATTATGAACAAATAAAGAAATCCAAATCGCATGAAGAAACGTATATGGAAAATGACAATGATTTGAAGTTTGAACAGATTAAAAAATCCAAAATACCTGATGGAACCTATATGGAAAATGAAGTAGATTTGAAGTATGAAGAAATGAAGAAATCCAAAGCACATGAAGGAATATATATGGAAAATGAAAATAAATGCATTCGTGAAGTTGTAGAAATGTCAAAGAAGCACGAAAATGAATCGATATTGGGAGAAAAATTATATCAAGATGATCCTAGAAATGAAATTGAAGAAATTGAATTGAATGTAAATAAATCTAGAAATGAAATTAAAGATGAATTAAATAAAAATATATTAGAAAAAGACCCTGTTCATATTGTATGGCATATTAGGAATGGCACATTAAATGAGGAAAAAGCAAATGAAATAAACTTGCAAAAAGAAAAATCTACATGTGAAAATGAAATGAAAAATTTAGAAAATAAAAGATCACTTAATGATGAAGTATGTAGTTGGAATACATGGATAAATATACATTTGATAGCCTTACTTGAGTATAAAACAGAAGAATGGAAATTGAATAAAACCGAATTTTTTAATATTTGTTTAGAAGAGATCAAAAAAGATGGAGAAAATTCTAATTTAAAAGAAATTGGAAATAATTTTGTAATGAAAATAAAAGAAGAAAATAATACCGATACAATAGATAAAAATAGTAGTATATTAGATAAATATAAAAATGAAGAGTGGTTTGTTAATTTGAAGAAAGAATGGGAACAAGAACAAAAAAAACACTTAGAATATTTAGAAGAACATGAAATTAAAAAAATGTCAGAATTGGGATTAAACAATTTTATTCTAGGTAAAAAAAAAAAAATATGGAAGGAATGGATAGAATGGCAAATAAAGCATTCATACGAATACAAAAATCAGAAATGGTTTGTACAATTGCTAGAAGAATATGAAAAAGAAGAAAAAGAAGAAATTTTAAAGGAAAAAAATATAGAGAAAGAAGGAAATAATGGAATAGATAAAAATGAAATGAAGAAAAATTTGGAAAGGAGAATTTTGTTAGATATTTATATGATGTTATTAGAGGAATGTATAAAAGAAGAGTTGCAAAAAGAAGAAGAATTTTATAAAACAAACATAATAGAGATGAGGAAATTTAAAAATTTGGACGAAGAAGCAAATAAATTAGAAAAAATAGAAAAAGAAAGAAGTTCGAATGTTATATCAGAGAAAGAAAAAGAGGAAATAGAAAAATGGAAAAAGGAAAAATGGTTTATTGAGTTAATGTTAGAATGGAAAAATAATGAAGAAAAATATATGATGGAGATAAATAAAGAAATTTTAGCAAAAAAGGATCAAGGAAGAGTAATAGATATTATCTTAGAAAGACAAGGCAATATATTGAAAAAACACTGTGAAAATATTTGTAGAAAGTGGAAAGAAAATGACAACAATGAAGAATGGTTTACAAAGTTAGTTAAAGTACATGAAAATGAAGAGAAAGAATATAAAAGTAGAATTGATAAAAAAAGTATAGAAAAAAAAAAAGAAAATGTAAAAACCATAGAAATTTGTGAACCACTAACGGAGTTTAACAATAAGGGAGAAGAAAAAATGATAAAATATGAAAGGAATAGTTCACAGGAATCATATGAAAAGAATAATTCTACAGTAAACAAAAAAAAATTAAAATGGAAGACTTTAATAGAAATATATATGGTAATATTGGAGGAATATAGAAAAGAGGAGTGGTTATTGAATAAAAATAAAAATAAAAATAAAACTTAAACTATTAAATGATGTTATTAAAAACAAATGTAATCATGTTTATAAATATAAATGGAATACAAACATAAAAATTACAATAAGAAAAATATTATATAACATTTTATGTTTAAAATTTTTTGGTATCTTATTTTAATGATTCTTTTAAAATATTAAGTTGAAATACAAGTAATATATATATTATATATCCTCTTTTTTTAAAAACTATATTATTTCCTTTGTTTTTGTTTTTTTTTTTTTGGTTAATTGAATAGATTTAATTGTATTTATATAATAATATATTATATTTTTTATATATTTAACAGATACGTAAATTATAGACTATGCAAATGGATAATAAATTATCTTTCTGATATAAAAATTGATAAAAATGAAATAAAATTGCATTTAAATTATAATAGAGACATCTTTGAATTAGGTTAACAAAAAGCAATATTTTGAAAATTATCTACAAGTAAATCTTTCATTTATCTAATCATATGATTAATTTATAATACATACAACACATACATTTAAAATACATAACAAATTTTAGAATGAAAACTAAGGAATATTTCATTTTGGGTTATTCCTCATCTTTGATAAAAGCAGAAATATATAAATATTAAAAGATGCTATCAACAATATTTATTTAATATTAAATAAAACAAGTAGAGAATAAAAAGATAAATAAAGTAAAAATGTTAAAATATATAAAATTTAGTTTAACAAGCTTCAGTTCTTTTTTCCACTTTGAATTCAACTACTTTTTTCTTCATTAACTTTCATATTTTCTTCTCTTTTCCACTTTTCATTTTTTTTCATTATACTCTTTTCCAACTCTTCCTTTTATCATTTTCTTTTCCCACTCTTCTTTTATTTTAGCATTTCCTTTTCAAACTTTTCAATTATTTCTAGCATTCTCTTTTCCCCCTCTTCCTTATTTTTTCGCATTTTCTTATCCAACTTAATTTTTTCTTTTAGCGTTCTCTTTTTCCAATCTTCGCCTCTTTTTAGAATTCGCTTTTCCCGCTCTTCCAAATGTTTTAGGATACTCTTATCATACCCATGCTTTTCTTTTAGCTTTATCTCTTCCCACTCTTCCTTACGTCTTAGAACTCCCTTTTCCTGTACTTCTATTTCTTTTTTTTTTTTTAGCAGTTTCTTTTGATCATCTTCCATTTTTTTTTTTTCTTTTTGCATTTCCTTTTCCAAATCACCTTTCATCTTTTTATTGCTATTATGCAATATCTTCTGCAACCTAACATTCATTTCATTTTTAGCTTTCAATTTAAGAGAGTAAGTTCTCTGTAAATTATTACAAATGATTTAAAATTTTGTTTTTATAATATATATAAAGTTTATAATTATAAACTTTATTTTACCTTAAAACGAAGGAAAGAAATAATAATGATAACTAACTGAAAAATACTTAACGACTTTTTATCAAGAAGATTTGTTGATGTAGCTGAATCCAAATTAATATCTTTAGATGGATTTTGAATGGCATCAGGTGAATTCAAATTATCATGTAATGGATTTTCTGGTATTGAAACAGTTGCATCTTTAATTTCCCTATGAGCGAAACCTTCAGTTGAATCTTCCTCATCTAGTGTCTCACAAGAATCAATATAAATAATATCACTTAGATTAAGATCCATTTTTGGTATCTTTAATAATGTAAAAAAAATTATTGAGAAATTATTTCTAATATTTTTTTTAATGAATTTTAAAATATTTCCCTTTTTTTTCAGTAAGGATAATATAAGTTAAAAACAAAAAATGTGGAAATATAAATTAGAAATTAACAAATAACTTAAACAATATAATTTTTGAAAAAAATATTAGTTTTAAAATTTTTTTTTAATTTTAACACAGAAATGTCTATTAAAAAATAAATCTATAACTACAACATAAAAATTTTAAATTTTAAATTCTAAATCCCACATCCTAAATCCTAAAATTATTAATTATATACTATAACCTCTTATTTATTATATATTTT